GCGAGCATTCTGGTTCATGGCCTACTATAAATGGGTTATGAGCAGTTTTTCACCTAAACCAGGTCCACGTTTGCGCATTATAATATGAAGCACTTAAACGGCGAGTAATACTCTCCCCACCCCCCCTCCGGCTGCTCACTGGTTAGGGGTACTTTACGCTGCGATGGCAAAGGTAACACACTAACGTTTTGGCTTTTCTTACTTGTACACCTTCTTTGTTCTGGTTTCATTACCATGGGCCTTATTGCCTTGAATACTATAAAAAATTTAGACAAGCCTGTTCTGTACCTTACTAACAATCTGAGTGGGCCATCCGATTATCTAAACTCCACGTTTACACACAGTATCTACCACCCTGGATCCTATATGACACTACGACTCCTGCAGTCTGTTAGATTTTTAGTTAGGTTGCTTATAATATCGGTCTAGGGATATTACGTATGTTTATTGTATTTTTTTTAAAAAGTGCAGTCAATTGAGCGTGTCTTTGGTCTCTATGTAAACTGAACCTCAGATATGCTTTCTTATATTCTGTATATTATGTTATTTGTTGATTATTGTCTTACAATACCCACATGCACAACAAAAATTAAGATTTTCAGAGTTTAGTGAATAACTGAGGGTGACTCCCAGGATTAGCAGAGGAATCGATGCCCCCTAGTGGATCACTAATGTCCTGCATTGCTGGAGGGGATGCTCTCACTCTCTGGGTTTATTCAATAAACAGGGAATTGCTGTAAATTGAACATATATCTTTTTGTATACCTGTTTGGAGGGACAGTCTGTATTCTGTGCCGAAATCCCTCTATTACGCTTTTATTTATTTTTTTATCAGCAAAGTAATACAAAGCTTTTATACACATTTGTGACGAGATGGTAATACAACATGATGTAGGCAAAGACGGGCTATGTACCCAAAATGTATCATGATGATAAAACAGCATTAGTTCAGCACAATTAAATCTTAATCTTAAACAGAAGTAAGACAGCGTAATTCAGCACCCAGAAACTAAGCCTGAATACGCATATGAGACAGGGGGGATATGATAGAAACATTTAAATGCATAAAGGGAATTGTAACGGATCGACGGGCACCCCGACTGGGTACCTCCGTTGAAGGATGCTCCTAGCGCTTCCTGAGGGCTCCAAGCACTCCAGCAGACACCATAACTACTGTAGACTCCTTCAGAGAGCAAAACAGGAACAAGCTCTTAAAAGAGCTTAGCAGTGATATAGCAAGAGAATATGACTAGCATAGCAATCCCTTGTAGCAGATTCCCCCAATAAGAGAAGGCACTCCAAATTGAGGGTGAAGTAGAACTGCCAGAGCTGTGGGTTTATTGTTCTTATATACACATTCTTACACATAAGTGTAAAACACGTACAATACACTCAGACACTCCCACACAAAATCTTCCCCTCTGCCTGTGATACAATTACCTTACACAATGAGTTAATGTAATTATCGCAGGCAAGAAAATACACAGTTTTACACAATATTCATAACTTTAAAAGTATGCATCACATTCACTTACATTTTCAGAATCAGCATACTCCAAATACAAACATACTCAAAATTCAGACAATTCCTTTCATTGGTTTAAAAGTTAGGTCGAAGTCCTTTGTGACCACTGAAGCATGGCTTTCCAGCCAAAACCAGTTCCACGGAGTCCTCTATCCTGGAGACAATTGGCTTAGCTGCGTGTGGTAAGCCAACTTTCTCCAGGTACAGAAAATGTCTCTATTGACATCAACAGCAAAAATACACAAAAATACATAATTCCTATCATACTGAACAGAACCCCCACATTCAACCTATCCCCAGATTGCTTGGATCTGAGCGCTCAATATATCCAAACAGTGCTCAGATCCAACAAACACAGTCAAATCGCCATGGGGTTTAAGTCTAGCATGGGCTGATGAGAGGGTCCATAGTCAGAGGGCAGGAGGCTGGCAATCAGTCTTCTCCAATGCCCAGTGGCGAGGCTGGTTCCGCCACAGGAATCAACACAGTAAAGAAGGAGACTATATTTAAAAGAAGAAACTACCACAACAAGAGGACAGAGTCTTAAATTAGAGGGACAAAGGTTTAAAAATAATATCAGGTAGTATTACTTTACTGAGAGGGTAGTGGATGCAAGGAATAACCTTCCAGCTGAAACACAGTAAAGGAGTTTAAGCATGCGTGGGATAGGCATAAGGCTATCCTAGACTTAAGATAAGGCCAGGGACTAATGATAGTATTAGTACTTCTTGCAGGTGGGGGCATGTCCACTAAATGGCTGCTTAGCTGTTAATACCCTGTGACCTGAGCAGTGTGTCGGGGTATTACAGTAATGAGAACAAGGGGGACTTGTCATTCATAAATCAGTGTTTAGTGGATAAACCCCATTGGAGGTATAATTCTGTCCCTGGGTGAGGACTGGAGGCTTGTTATCCATTAGACCAGGTTGCTCCTTAACCTATACGACTGGTTTGTTATTCTATCTAATAATCAATATCCCTTTTCCCATAAGATATGCTCTATCTTATCACATGTCATTCTGTGCAATAAATTGATATTTCTTCAAGCTATGCTCCACAAAGAGGCTGGTGAGATATATGGCAACAGATATGGGATAAGGGAACCAGTAATAAGTCTGCGGTGACATAAATAAGTGACAGTGTTTACATTCTGTCTCCAGATTCTACAGCACCTTCCATAACAAGTCAATATCTTGACTGCTGTCTAGATGTCTGTACCACCCACCCAATGCCCCCAGTCCCCCAATAACACACAGAGACCGTAATTACGTTGGGTAAGGGCATCGGCCACAGCTTTTATTAATTCATTTCCATGCCAGCAACATAATCATACTGTCAGCTGTTGGGGTGATTGCCCAACAGACAGGTCTATCCCCACAAACCATGAGTCCTGAGCAGCCTGCCTCCGCCATCAGCTCCCAACAGGCTGCCACTCCCCAAGCCTCCTCGGCAACTTCACCACTTCTGCCTGCGCTGGCCAGGACTCCCGCGTGCTGTGACAAAAACAAGAAAAAGACAACCAACAACAGGCACCAACAACAACCCACATTCCTGTCTAACTAAACGTCCTAGGGGAGGGAGGGCGGGAAAGTCAGGATCCCTGCACTTCCAAAGCTGACTGGTAAGTTCCCTCCCCTAACTGTCCTTATAACTGTCTTCATCTTAGCAACTATGTATCCATATATACCCCTCCCATCCCTTACTCCTTCAAGACTCCTTATCCTAGCCGCAGTCATGTCCCCCCTTCCTTGTCAGTCCAGGGAGGTGTCTTTCTATACTGTCTGTATAGATGTAAGGTAGTCGCCCCCCTCTTCCCCCCTCCCCCACTCACTCCAATTACAGTGAAAGAATGAATTCACTCCAATAACAGTGCAGGAATGAACTTACTCCAATAACAAGTTCAGGAATGAACTCACTCCAATAACAGTGCAGGAATTAACTTACTCCAATAACGAGTTCAGGAATGAGTTCATTCCTGCACTGGTTTTGGAGTGAGTTAATTTCTGCACTCCAATAACATGTACTAGACTCTGTGGCAGACTGCCCGACCGCTCTCTGGCAGGGGCAGGTTTCTTTTTTGTTTCTAAATAATAGGGCGGGTATAGGGCTCTGCATTGATTATAGAGGACTAAATAAAATCACAATAACGCCCTTTCCTTTTATTCAGAGAATTATTTGATAGCTTGAAAGGAGCTTCTGTTTTTACTAAATTAGATCTTAGGGGTCCTTACAACTTGGATATTAATTGAGGAGGGTCATGAATGAGAAACCCAGCGGCGTACCTAGAGCATTTGGCACCCGGGGCGGATCCTGTGCTTGGCACCCCCTCGCCCCCCCCACCCAAAAAAAAACCTGTAAAAAATGTTAAAGGTTTTCTTTTTTTTTTTTACAATTTGTAAACTTTGCAAAACCGCTGTCAGTCCCTCCTACAAAACCCTTGTCCTGCCCCCTCCTACAAAACCCCTGTCCTGGCCCCTTCCACAAATCCTGTACTGCCCCCATCTACAAAACCCCCACAACCCCCTTCCACAAATCCCCTGCTTATCCCCCTTATAAAGACTCCTGTCCCAATACAAAACCCCTGCCCCCTTCTACAAAATCCCTGCAGCCCCACACACACACACACACATTTACAGGCAGACAGTTACACACTCAGTTACAGGCAGACAGTCACACACAGTTACAGGCAGACAGTCACATATACATTGACACACACACATGACAGCAGCAGACAGTCACATGCACACAGTCACAGACAGTCACACATGGTTACAGGCAACATCAGTCAGTCACAGGCAGACAGTCACACATACATAGTCACATGCAGTCACACACACAGTTATAGGCAGACAGTCACGCACACAGTTACAGAAAGACAGACAGTCACGCACACACACACACACAGTCACAGGCAGAGAGTTACACACACACACATGCAGACAGTCACACAGAGTTACAGACAGTCATGCACACAGTTACAGGCAGACAGTCACATATACATTGACACACACACACACGACAGCAGCAGACAGTCACATGCACACAATCACAGACAGATGTTCCCACACGGTTACAGGCAACATCAAACAGTCACAGGCAGACAGTCAGGCAGACAATTACACACACAGTCATAGCCAGACAGTCACGCACACAGTTACAGACAGACAGTCACATATATAGTCACCAGGGCCGGACTGGGAAAAAAATTAGGCCCGGGCATTTTTCAATCAGAGCGGCCCCATAAGAAGGGGGCGGGGCCAGAGAGAGTGTGTTTTGTCATCACTAATGACAAGCACGCCTCCTCTCAAAGTGAGCATGTTGGTTCAATGCGCAGAGCTGCGCTGAAGAGCTCTGGCATTCGTTCTGCCCTGTATTTGTTCTGCGCAGCGCAAGCAAATTTAATAACATGCTTGCACTGTGTTTGCTTTTAAATTGTCTCTGGTGTCTCAATAAGTGGGATACCAGAGGAAAAAAGGGCCAGGAAAGTGTATGGTGCATGTGTTTGGAGCCTGCTTGTGGGATTGCGTGTGTGTAGAGTGTGGTGTGGTATTGTGTAAATAGGTCAATTTCATTTGTGTTTGTGGTATAATATGTATGGCTAGGGACTGTAGAGAGTGTGTGTATAGGGGCATAGTGTTATAGGGGATGTAGCGAGTGTGTGCATACGGGCTGTAGTGTGTGTGTGTATAGGTGACGTAGTGTGTGTAGGGGTTGTAGAGAGGGTGTGTTTAGAGAATGTTGTATGTGTTTGCTGACAAGGAATGTAGTGTGTGTGTAGGTGGTGCAGTGTGTGTGTGGGAGATCTAGTGTGTAAAGGACCCAGAGTGTGTATAGGAGATTGTGTGTGTGTGTGTGTGTGTGTGTGTGTGTGTGTGTGTGTGTGTATAGAGGATTATGTCTGGGGGTGCTGTGTGTGTCTGGGGGTGATGTGTGTGTGTGAGTGTGATTTTTTAATTTAAATTATTATTATTTTTTTATTAATAATAATAATAATAATAATTTAAAAAAAAGTTATATTCCCCCCCCTCCCTTCTTACCTTTAGCCTGGGAGGGGGGGGAACCGTTTTGCCTGGGACGGGGGGGAGCCGTTCCGCCATGGGAGAGCCATGCTGCCTGATCCCTGGTGGTCCAGTGGTGAGCGTGAACTCTAGCCTGTAGGTGACGTAGTGTGTGTAGGGGTTGTAGAGAGGGTGTGTTTAGAGAATGTTGTATGTGTTTGCTGACAAGGAATGTAGTGTGTGTGTGTGTAGGTGGTGCAGTGTGTGTGTAGGAGATCTAGTGTGTAAAGGACCCAGAGTGTGTATAGGAGATTGTGTGTGTGTGTGTGTGTGTGTGTGTGTGTATAGAGGATTAAGAGTGCATATAAGGTAAGGGATCTAGCGGTTATCTGGAGCGTAATGTATGTAGTGCTGTAGTGTGTGTGTGTGTGTGTATATATATATATATACATACATATATATATTTGGACGTATTGTATGTGTGAGGGGCGCAGTGTGTGTGTATGTAAGAGGGGTGCTGTGTGTGAGGGTGTTTTTATCTGCCGTCACATTCTAATTTTCTTTGTCTGTTAACTCACTGAGGTTATTTTATATATTATATATATATATATATCTGTAAATATATATATATATATATATATATATATATACACACACATACATACACACATATATATATGTGTGTGTGTGAGCGAGGGTGCTGTCTGTCTGAGGGTGCTGTGTGTGAGTGAGGGTGCTGTGTGCCTGAGTGCGCTGTGTGTTTCTGGGGGTGCTGTGTGTCTGGGGGTGTTGTGTGTGTCTGTGGGTGCTGTGTGTGTCTGGGGGTGCTGTGTGTGTCTGGGGGTGCTGTGTGTGTCTGGGGGTGCTGTGTGTGTCTGGGGGTGCTGTGTGTGTCTGGGGGTGCTGTGTGTCTGGGGGTGATGTGTGTGAGTGTGATTTTTTATTTAATTTTTATTTTTTTTAATTAATAATAATTTTAAAAAAAAGTTATATCCCCCCCCTCCCTTCTTACCTTTAGCCTGGGAGGGGGGGGCCGTTTTGCCTGGGACGGGGGGGAGCCGTTCTGCCATGGGAGAGCCATGCTGCCTGATCCCTGGTGGTCCTAGTGGTGAGCGTGAACTCTAGCCTGTAGGTTAGAGTTCACTCTCGCGAGATCTGAGCGTTGCCGCGGTAACCGCGGCAACGCTCAGAATCCCGCGAGAGGACCCGGCGGAGCTGCTGGATAGAGCTCCGCCGGTCCTCTCCTCCCTCCCTCACACCCCAGCAAGCGGCCGCCTGGAAGTGTCTCTGGGCCGGTAAAGGGAGATCTTTGATCTCCCCACCGGCCCATGGAGACACACAGCAGGGCCGGCGCTCGGTCACAGTGCTGGCCCTGCAGGGGCCGGTCGGGGAGATTCTGTGATCTCCCCTGCCGGCCTCGGCCCCACGGCCATCGCGGCCCACCGGGCATTTGCCCGGTATGCCCGATGGCCAGTCCGGGCCTGATAGTCACTCACAGTCACAGGCAGAGAGTTACACACACACACACACACACAAACACACTTACAGACAGACACACACAGTTACAGGCAGATAGTCTCACACACACACACAAAGTTACAGGCGGCAGACAGTCTGACACACACACACACACACACACACACAGTCACACACACTCTTACTTACAGACAGTGGGCTGGAGGAGGACTGGATTACCTGAAGACTGAAGTCCTTCTCTGAAGCCTGTGGAGAAGCAGAGATTCCATCTTGCTGCACCTCCTAACAGCAGCGGGTAAGGGCCGTATTAAGCCCCGCCCCTGCTGCTGTTTGGCTCCGCACCAATTTTGCTTAGCTCCGCCCCCATGTTTCCTCCGTGCGGCCAGTTCAGGAGCTGTTCTGGCCGCCCGGCACCCTAACTACCATGGGGCACTGTGCGGCCACAGCTCACACAGCCCCCTCCAGCACCCAGACCAGGGTCATGGCACCCCCCACCCTGGTGGTACCCGGGGCGGACCACCCCCTCCGCCCCCCCTCCTTAGTACGCCACTGGAGAAACCACATTCAATACTAAAAGTGGGCATTACGAGTATACAGTCATGACTTTTGGCCGTTGTAATGCACCTGCTGTATTCCAAGATTTCATTAGTAATGTCCTCGGAGACACATCCTTTTGTAATAGTGTATTTAGATGACATATTGATCATCATACACGTCATCGGCACTTCTTAATAATGGTCTCAACTGTAAATTGGGAAAATGTCTATTTGATCAATCTGAAGTACAGTTCTTAAGTTATGAAAAAGAAAAAGAACGGCAGATCCTCACAATCACAGTAAACGTGTGAAAATGTGGGATCTGTCCTAAAGGATGCCTACCACAGAGCTACTAAGTAGGGGGTAACCCAAAATGTAATAATGCAGATAGAGGAGACCCTTGGAACAAGGGGATCCCAGTGGTAGCTCTGAATGCACAGAAAGAAACAGTAACCAGATGATTACAGAGAAGGTGGATACAGACACAAATGGGTAGCACAGAGATAGAGGTAAAAGGGTATATACATGTAGAGGACCCTGCCTATACCTATAATAGAACGAACTATACACACTGAAACTTGCTGCCCGCAGGAGAAAAAAGCCCCCCCACAGACAAGTGGCACAGTTACACCAGAGATAGAAGGGTAAAAGATCCCAAAACACGTCCCAGTATCGGTTGAAGGTACCGTATATACATATATATATATATAGAAAAGGAAGGAAACCCTTCCTATACCTAAAGTAACTCAGACTGTACAGACTGAAACTTGCTGCCCACAAAAAAGAAAGAAAAAAAACGTGCCCACACTGGCGTCAAGTTAATGAATAGGAGTCCTGCCTAACAAAGTAGTGTAGTCATCTAGGGTGAATGATCCTAACCCCAATGGTAAGTCCAGGACTACCCCGCAGGACTAAGCTAGACTGACTTGAAACGCCACTAATCTGAATGCTGGTTAAAAATGCTAAATACAAACGAAAACTTAACTGAACATAAAAACTGCCTAAGTGCTACCTAGGGAAAAAAATAAATAAAAATGAGAAATGCTCGACGCGCGTTTCGGCGTGAATACACTCCACCGTCAGGAGTTACTAAATGTTCAAGCCCCAAAAAGCCGGTAAATATACATCCCTAATAAGGGAAAACACTTATAGCTGGTCCAGCACACAGCCTATCCAGGAGGGGGATGACGGATGACATTTAGTCGCCACACCCCCTCTGAGCGTCATATCACATAGTCCGTTATGATTGGGTGGTAACAGGATCAGTCACCGTAAGGAGATGGTTGAACACACCTCCTCTCAGCGTCATAGCCTAACATGAAAATGATTGACGGGTGACGTGGTTCGTCACGCCTACTGCCAGCGTCAAGGCATACAGACAGTTCCCATTAACCCCTTAAGGACACATGACATGTGTGACATGTCATGATTCCCTTTTATTCCAGAAGTTTGGTCCTTAAAGGGTGTGGTGAAACCAGCCTCGCCACTGGGCATTGGAGAAGACTGATTGCCAGACTCCTGCCCTGTGACTATAGCCCTATGTTGAAATGCTTGATTTTCCCCTGCAAAGACCCGAAAGCCGGGTCATTCGGTACTTTCCCTATTTGAACAGTGATACCCCAGATAGCTATGCCATGGAGCCCATTCGTATAACGAAAGACTATGTGAAAGACTTTGGCTCCATGGCAATTGAACTGTATGAATGCAATCTGAACGCCATTCAGTAATAACGTGCGCTCAGATCTAAGCTATCTGGGGATATGTACCTGTTTAATGAAATAGCTGCACAGTTATATATTTTTATGTATTTTATTGTCATTTGCTACCATGTGGCTAATGGAGTTTTGCCTCTGTCTTTGGAGATAATTGGATTACTTCCCAATTATCTCCAGGATAGAAGACTCTGTGGAACCGGTTTTGGGCAGAAAAGCCATGCTTCATTTGGTCACAAAGGACGTCGATCTAACTTTTGACCCACTGGACCAATTTGGATGATTTTGACGTATGTTGGTATTTGGAGTATGCGGATTCTGAAAATGTTATATGAATGTGATGCATACTTTTAAAGTTATGAATATTGTGTAAAACTGTGTATTTTCCTGCCTGTGATAATTATATTAACCCATTGTGTAAGGTAATTGTATCACAGGTAGAGGGGAGGATTTTGTGTTGGAGTGTCTGAGTGTATTGTACGTGTTTATTGGTTGTTTTACAAAACCCTGTGGGTGGTACTAATGTGTAAGAATGTGTATATAAGAACAATAAACCCACAGCTCTGTTAGTTCTACTTCACCCTCAATTTGGAGGGCCGTCTCTTATTGGGGGAATCTGCTACAAGGGATTGCTATGCTCTGCATACTCTCTTGCTATATTCACTGCTAAGCTCTTGTAAGAGCTTGTTCCTGTCCTGGTCTCTGAAGGAGTCCACGGTGGTTATGGTGTTGGCTGGAGTGCTTGGAGCCCTCAGGAAGCGCTAGGAGCATTCTTCAACGGAGGTACCCAGTCGGCGTGCCCATCGATCCGTTACAAGGGGTTAAATGGTTGCAGGGCCAATCAATGTAAAAGGGTGTTTAATAACGCCCCCTCACCCTGTCATATCGTATAACCACTTTATTTACTTAGTGGATATTACGCTGCGGGAGGTAGAAAAGAATCCCTTAAATTACCGATGGAGTGACCATAAAATAGCAACAAATTATCACATTATGACTAAATGTAATGATTTTCACATGTAAGAATGTTTTTTGACGTATGAGCATTTGTATCGAACATGTCTTCCATGTCAAGTGTGTATGTCAACACCAAAGATTGTACTGACACAGACAACCATACTACTGGACTCTAAGCTAAATATAAATCCTACTATATAGTGGGCCAAAAAGAAGGTCCATGTAACGGCACCCCCAGGCATAAAAGGGTTAAACCGCCGTTTAGTAGATCTTCCCTTCCAGAGACACAGGCACAGCTACTGAAGAACACCAATCCGCCGAACAGGAAACCATATGAATGCTGTAAACAGCTGAATAGGAAAAACCATATGAATAGGTTTACACTCCTAGCAGTCGAACTGGAACAGCATACAATAAATCCCCCCAAGAACGAGACAAAGCTCCGTGTTGAGGGTCAAGCAGTGAACAGTCAGAGCTGTGGGTTTATTGTGCTTATGTACACATTCTTACACATTAGTACTACCCACATGTTTTTGGAACACAACCAATAAACACATACAATACACTCAGACACTCCCACACAAATTCCTCCCCTCTGCATGTGATTCAATTACCTTACTGTCAGGATTACTGTTTGATCCAGCAC